CTGATCTGGGCGTTGATGCCTCAGGCTCTTGGTTTCTATAACAGGGTTAATGGATTACACTAATCCCTTTTACCCTTACCTCCTTGTGTGAGTTAGGTTCTTGACCTTGTATCTCCTTTCCAGTCTTATATTCTTATCCTCATCAGATAAACATACTTTTTTTTTCTGTTTCTATTTGTTGAGACATCTTTGATTTGTTTTTCTTATTCAGCTCTTCACAAATGAATTTATCTCTTGTCTCAGTGTTCTATATTCGAGACAATCCTGTTTCTAGACAGTTGTCTATCTACATGATTTTTTTTTAAAGATTTATTTATTTATGCAAACAAGAGCTGGGGTACAAGTCAGAGGTGCGGGAGTGGGGATGAGAGGATTCTCCAGAGACAGAGTGGGGAACAGAACAGGCAGACTGACTGAAAAACACTGCTGAGGCGAGCAGCGGGCGAGACACGAGAGGTCTGCTGCGCCATGTAGGTTGCTCTCTGACTGGCTGGGGATCGAAGTTGTGCTACAGAGGCTGCGGGTTGCTTTATAGTGCTGTGCTTAACCCCTTGCGCCACCAGGGAGGCCCTACCTATGTGATTTTTGCCTCATAGGGATACCGTAATTGCAGGTTTTTGGGTCTAGTCTCCCAGCCAGGAATGGATCCCAGGTTGCAAGGGCACTGAGCGCAGCCACTAGACTACCAGGGATTGGTGTCTCATGAAGCTGCAGCAGGAACTTAGCTGCCGCTCAGGCAAGCAAGCGAAAAGAGGCAGGTTTGTGCAGAGAAAGAAGTTTATTAAGGAGAAAAGAAACAAAGTGGGATTCCCAGGCTGGAGGAAGCAGGCCACCCAGGGGCAAGGAAGCTGCAGTGGATTTGTGCCTCAGGGAATCTACCTTCTTTCCCCCATGATTTGAAAGTCCCCTCAGTCTCTTTGTGATTGGTTGGTTCTGGGTGGTCTCACTCACTGTTTAATTGTCTCTGTGCCCAGAATTGCATCTTGCTTTTCAGCTCTTAGAGTCCTTTTTCTTTATCATCCTTGTTCCAGAATGTACTGTTGCCCCTTGTCCTGGGGGTGTTTGATTAGGCTCTTTTGGAATTTGTGCCCCTTATCTCTGGAGGCTTTCTTATTCCTCCAGGGCTTTTCCTATTCTGTTCTGACCCTGGGAGCTCTCTGCTTGCCCTATGACTCAGTAGTGGCATTATTTTCAAATGCTAGGTTTTCATCAAAGTTAAGTAGTTTTTACATTCTTTATTGATATTTTTAGCTTCTGTAAATCATGGGTTGGTTAATTAAAAATTTTCTGTGGTAATTGCAAAAAAATTCTGCTGTCTTCTAAACTGTGAGGCAGAAAACAGCAACTACATAGATGACCTATAAATATCGCCTTATTTTGCACTTTGCTAATGAGATGTGAGATGCTCTATAGATTCTCTGCAGCAGTTAGGTGAGTCTATTCTGACAGAGGCACTCAATTAGTCTCTGAATTTCATGTAAAGTGGTAGGTGGAGAGACACTTGATTAGATTAAGATGATCTTCCCCCCTCTTATAAAGCAATATTTTTTCCCATTTTTCCAAAGTGTGCTACTGTGCTTTCAATCATTAAAAAATCCCCATCAGACTTTTGCCAAATAAATTTAGTATTCTTTGATGAGCTGTTAATATTGTTTGATTTTGGAATTACTTGTGAATATGGGATCCTTTTTTGCCAGTATATAAAACTATAGAGATTTCCAAGCTAATGCTGCCTCTTTTTGGGGGGACATACTTTAAAGCCAGTGTTCTTACTAGACGTGACCTTATGCATCAAGTGCAGTCCTGGCAATAAGGATCAGAGATGCCGGGCTCAGATCTCAACTGGCAAAATCAGGACTAGGATTCTCTCATTAAAATTTTATTGTTTTTTAAAAAATATTTATTTATGCATACAAGAACTGGGGTGTAAGCCAGAGGTGTGGGGAGTGAGAGGATTTACCGGAGAGGGGAGCAGAACAAGCAGATCCACAGAAACACCACTGAGAGGAGCAGCAGGTGAGGCAGGAGAGGTCTGCCGCACCATGTGGCTTGCTCCCTGGCCATCCAAGGATGTAACTCCTGCTGCAGTGGCTGGCGATAGCTTGATAGCTCTGTCTTTAACACCTGTGCCACCAATAAAATTTTTTTAAATGATTTGTTTATGTATGCAAGAACTGGGGTATAGGCCTGAGGTACGGGGAGTGACAGGATTCAACAGAGTGGGAAGCAGAACAGGCAGATTGACTGAAATACACTGCTGAGGGGATCAGTGGGCCAGACAGGAGAGGTCTGCTGTACAATGTGGGTCACCTCCCTGGCCTGGGTTCGAATTCATGCTGCAGTAGTTGTGGATAGCTTAACCCCTTGTGCCACCAAGGAGGCCCCTCTACATGAATTTTAGAATGAGTTTGTTAATTACCACACAAAGAAAATCCATTGGGATTGTGCTGATGATTACATTGACTCTATAGATTAGTTTTGTGGAGAATTGACACCTTTAAACTTTTGATTTTTGCACCAATAATATTTTATTGTAATGAGGGCTTACCTGATGGTTCAGGGGTTAAAGTCTCAGCTCTGTCAGGCCAGCTACTGTGACCTGATTTCTACCTCAGTTCGATCCCCCAGCAGATCGCTCCTGTTTCTCCTGCTTTTCCCGTTAGCAGTGGATTTTAGTGGATCTGCCTCCCCACTCTGTCTCTGGTGAATCCTCTCACCCCACCTCACCTCTGGCCTATACCCCAGTTCTTATATGCATAAATAAAAATAAATATTAAAAACAAATTTGTTATGAAACTTGGGTGGCCTCTGGTGGTCAAAGATGTGCTTGAAGGCTTGGGCTTATGAATGCCCATGATTTTGAAGGTTGATTTTTATACAGTAGTGAAAGTTTAGTTATTTATCTCTATTGCTTGGTTTATACAGACACAAATCCTTCTGTCTGTATCTCTTTGCCCACCCTTATAGGAGAACACTGAAAACTTTAAATTTAACAAAGGACTCAAGTGGCTATCATAACTATTCATACATTTTTTTTTTTTTGGAAGCCTGTAAAAATCAATAGTTTAATATTAGATCTAGCTAAGAACTGAATAGTATTTCTTTAGAACTCAGTTTATTTTCTTATTAATTACAAAATACTGTTTTTTATTTATATTCTCCTTTAGTTTGTTCATTTGTATTCACCAATTTTACCATCACTTGACATATTAAGCTTATGGAGTGATTTTCAGGACCTTCAAAAGCAGTTACTTTTTTTTTAATAATAGACTAATAGAATGTGGAAAACATTAGGCAATCAAAATAATTTCCTCCTATTTCACCAGCCACCCAGTTCTCCCTAGGGGCAGGCATTGTTGCGTCGGCATTTATGTTTATTCTGCCTTCTTATTTTTCAAAAGGAACAGCATATTCTACACATTAAATCTGCCTTTTGCTGTTTTTTTTTTTTTTTAAACTTAGCAGTGTATCCTGGCAATTTTTCCATATCATTTTAACTTTTCTTGGAAATGGTTTAGGTAATATTCCTTTACTATACAACCATTTAATCTGTTCCCTCCTGATGGACTTTCTAGCTGGCTTTCAGTCTTCATGGTGCAAGTATGCATAGAAATGGTTGCTACGTGAAAGCTGGTGTGCATTTAGCATTTTGAATCGATAGAGCCAAAGTGTGACCAGTTGTCTCAAATTATATACCTTCACTAACCTGTGTTACTGTCCTTATGCTTATAAAGCAGTTTGGTTTTTGTAGCACGTTGGGTAAAAATTAGTACCCTATTATAATTTTAGTTTTTATATACTCTGCTGCTTGTGTACTATAACAGCACAATTCAGTAGTTGTTATAGATACCTTTTATCTGCAAGGCTAGAAATATATATGTTATTTTAACAGTTTCTCAACCTCTGATCTTCTGTATCACCATATCCTATAAGTGATGTTTGGACTGTTTCTTGTATCCTATTGCCATCCTCTGTGTAGTTTGCCTTATTTATTTTTTCTTCTGCCTGCTTGCAGATTGTTTTTGTTTGGACTCTAACACACTGCTTCTGTTCTCAGACTGATTAGTTTTCAGTCAAGAAAAAAGCATTGTTTTATGAAAAGAATATTTTCTCCTCCTCTCTCTACATTCCCAAAATGCTGACATAACTTTTATTTCAGTTTCAAATCTTATGTGGATAACTTGTCATTAAAATAAATTTATAGCATTAAAAACAAAGTCACGAATGGTTTGGTTCAGGGTTTGCTGAGTTTTTAAGATTTATTTATGCATGCAAGAACTGGGGTACAGGACAGAGGTGCAAGGGTGATGGTGAGAGGATTCACCAGAAACAGAGAGACAGAGTGGGGAACAGAGCAAGCAGATGGACTGAGATATACTGCTGAGGGGAGCAGCAGGCAAGACAGGAGACAGGAGAGGTCTGCTGGCCATGTGGGTCACCTCCCTGATGCAGAGCTTCATAGAGCTGCAACTTAACCCCTTGTGCCACTAGGGAGGCTCCTGCTGAGTTTGTTTTTTTTTTAGTTTTTACAGAATTTTAAACACCTTTTTTCAAGTAAAATCACTATGAACTCAGAAGATATAAACTGAAAATATAAGAAGGTAAAATGTTATACAAACCATCCACCAAGAAATAGGAGTAGCTTTGCTAGTCAGTCTATTAAACTATTCATTAAATTTATCTTTTCTAATTTTTGCTACATGAGAACGAAGAAATGTTTGTCTTGCAGCTCTTCCACAATTGATGGGAACAAATTCTTTGAAACTTTACATTGTTTTTTGGAAATAGAAAGGAGGTTGTGCTTTCCATTACATATGTATATTAAAAAAAATCTCAATTATTGGGAAGAACTGCCTTAATTATTCTTTTTTTCCTTTGGTCACTTAAAGTTTTTTCCTTAAGAATTTTTGGAAAATACTGTTTTAGAAAGTAATAATTTTCTTCTTCCTTATCCTATTTCTAATAATAAAAACCATAATTCTTTGATTTCTTTCCTGTAGTGGCTTACAGAAGAGATGAAATGTGGTCGGAGGGACGGTATGATTATGAAAGATTTCCAAGAGAACGAGTACCTCCTCGAAGTCACCCCAGTGTAAGTCGCTCAGACATGTGTCAGTTATTCAACATCTGGTGGCTAAGTGAATTTGGTATTCCAAAAGCTAGGATTCTTCACAAAATCTTCAAGTGCCCCAAATTTACCAGTCTAGATTGACTATAGATAGACCAAGCTTACTTTTTAAAAAATTAAACATTTAAAATAAAACTCAACACTTTATTTAGAGAAAAATCTCTATTTTGTATTTCTTGTTTAAATTTCTAAAAATGGAAGGTTTATATTGAATTCAATTAGTGAAGGAAGAGTATTTGAGCACTTGATTCTACAGTTGGCTGCCACCAATTTTTCTGTGTTTTAAAAAAGTGTCTGCAAATTGGATAGATGAAATCCTAAATCAGGGGCAGGCAGGTAAGTTCTAGCTGTCTGCTGCTTGTCTTTTGGAATTGGGAATTTTGAGCCAGTCCCTTTTCTCTTGTCAAGGAGTTCACTTATTGTATTCTCAGCTTGATGTCTGTTGCCTGCCACATAGTAGGAGCTCAGTGTTGACAGAATGAATACATGTATTCTCGCTAAGGTCTTCTTCAGTGATATAAGGAAGGGGCCTGGGGAAGAAGTAGTCAGTCTTAAACTTCTGTGAAGACCCATTTAAGCCCCAGGGGATTGGGTTTGTGATGGGCTATGGGCATTCTATGGGTTCATGATACACCATCAGAGGACACATATATTTGTTTATATGATGGTTGTTTTTTACTTATATGAGTTGTTTTTTATTTATATAAATAAATTTTACAGCCAACTTAGATGGATAATATCCTCTTCAGAGTTGCAATTTGGCCTAGATTACAACTTGTTTGGATTAATCTAAAATGAATGTAAAGAGGCTTCCCTTATTTCAGAATGGACTGATGTAATTATTACTATGTGTCATTTCTTTCCAGATTAATTTATAGACTTTATTATTAATCAAAACCTCAATTTTTAAAATTTTCCCAACTTTCTTAAAATCATTGAAGAGTTTACCCAGAAGAAGAAATAAGTGATATAGATAAACATGATGTAGGGCTAATATAGGGCTGGGATAAGAGATGACTTTAAAAAAAAAAAAAAAATAGAATCCCTGCCTTCCTAAGGATATAGCTTTTAGGAATTGTTATTTCAAAGGTACTTAAAATAATTTTCTGTGAAGTTATGCTACCAATTGGATATATAGTTGGATTTGTTTTAGTTTTGGGATTGCCTTTTTCTTTTCTAATTTTTTTTTAACTTAACACTTACATGGCTATATGTTATAAAATAAGGAACATTTAGAGAGGGGATGGCTTATTTTAAATGATATTATAATTGTCCATTTAATTAGTGCCTGCTTACTATGAGTGGAGGTTTATATATAATCTTCCAAATTTTTAAAACAATTGTGTTGAATGGTACAACATTTAAATAACCCAGTAGAAAGTTTTAGAACTTATATAATGTAGGAAGGGATTTATATTTAGAAGTAAAATACCAGACAACAATAGGAAATACTCAAAATAAAATAATGGAAACATAATTTTCTCTATTAGGTCATTGTTTGGGAATGGATTCCAGGGAACTTTTATTTGATAGCTTTTGTTTTTCTCTGAAATAAGAGGGAGCAAGATTTGAAAGTTGAGGAGTTGGAAGGAGACTTGCGGATAACAATGGAGTTATAGTCGGTATCTCGACCAGAGATGTTTAAAAAAGACTGTTTATAAATTTTATAGGGGCATTAGTCTTCAGGACTGGGAACTTTAATATCAGTGTAGCCCAGTTTAGGAGTGGAGAAAGTAAGCTGTAGTGATTTAAGATTGCAAGATTAGTGGTAGACCCCAGGGAGATATGGATATTGGAAGTTCTTACCTAGAGAATTATTGAGGTAATATATTGTGTGACTTGGTGATTAAGAATGGGAATAAGGCTACTAGAGAAACTGTAGATTGAAAGAAGTGAGGAGTTGAGATACAGGAAAGGCTTAGTGAGATTGAGGGACGACCTGGGTGTGGCAGAAAAGACAGGCAAAGGATGTTAGGAGTGTAGGTTTTCCAGGATGGAACAGTTCTGGGTGACTGAAGTGCAGTGTGTGGTGATGGGAATTAAGGGTGGCTGAAGGTTAGTGAAGTTGAGATAAAAAAAAAAAAAAAAAAGTTGTATAATCATACTGACATGTGCAATATGAGTGTTTACAAGCAGCACTATTGGTAAGAGCTCCAACCTGGCAACGTTCAGTAGAGCAGATCACTTAATTGTGTAATTATACAACACCAAGAATGAATGGCCTGCTTCCAGAACACCAGCATATATAAACCATGCAAATATATTGAAAAAAAAAGCCAGACATAAAAGTGTCTGGCTTTTATATAGAAAAAAAATTTTTTTAAAGATTTATTTATTTATTTATACAAGCACTGGGTGCAGTCAGAGGCACTGGAGGGTGAGAGAATTCACCAGAGCCAGAGCCGGGAGCAGAACAGGCAGACTGACGAAGTACACTGCTGAGGGGAGCAGCAGGTGCAGCAGGAGAGGTCTGCACGCCATGTGGGACCCTCGCCCTGCAGCCAGGGATCGAACTGGCGCTGCAGAGGCTGCGGGCAGCTTCGCAGCCCAGGGCTTAACCGCTGCGCCACCGGGGAGGCCCCTATAGACATTTTTATGTAAGGTTTTCAAACACACCAAATTAACCAGGAAAGTAGTTACTTATCTTAACACTTTACAGCATTTAAAAAATAACTGCTGTATCTGTAAATTTACTTTTTTAAGGTGCTTTCACCTAAATTTTATTTGGAATTAAACTTGGGTAGAGAGGAGACTAAAGCCCAAAGAGGTACGATGCAGAGGAGCTGCACGGAAACAAACACATCCCCCTATTTGCAGGGGGTTGATGATCACAGATCATTTACATTTAACTTTTAGATGTCAACAAGAATGCCCCCCCCCAAATTATGTTTATTGAGGTAAAGTAGGTTTACATCTTTGTATTTGCTCTGGGGGTGTTATTTGTGACATTGGCTTTTTGATGCCAGTAAACTTCCAATTGTACAAGTTCATTTTGTTAGCTTAGCAGGACAGATCGGTCTTCCAGAATATTTTTAATGGAAATTGGAACATAATATGTCCCTTTTCCTTGACTTGTTTAATGGTTTCAGTTTCAGAATTTTTGGAGGTTGTAAAGCTTAGGAATTAGGGTCAAACTTTAGCAACTTATATAAATGGTGCTTATACATTTGTGTTATGATGTAATGGAGGCTGAAATAGTTGTATCTGCTTCTTCTGTTCCTTTAACAAATATATATTAAAGATATTTTGTTCTTGGTAGCAGTGAGAATTGTGAGGGTAACTGTCAAGAACTTATAAAATTTTATTTTTACTTTTTCACATTTAGTTAATTTGACTAATATCGCTAGGCTTCATATTAAGTACATAAAGTTTTCCTTGCACTAGTTGTATGTTTCTTGTTATTGATTATTTCTCTCTCCTAGATATTTTAGCCGATCTATTCAACTATTCGCATTTTACTAAACTTCGCTTATCAAATATTTGTCCATCAGTCCTTTATCCATCCACTTAATCCATCTAATTTTTTTTGATGCTTTTCAAAATAAATTGTGGACAACTGTACACTTTATATGAACTAACTAGCATATCATTAGCTTAAGTGCAGTAGTCAGAAGAAATAACATTCATTTTTTAAAATGTGAAACTTACATATGTGAAATGTTAAATCTTAGTGTTTGCTAAGTTTTTCACTTCATGTTCCTTTGTATAGAGATGTTTTCTTGACTGACCTTGTCAGGGGGAAAAGGATGTCCTAAAACTAATTCCATACAGACTTTGTGGACTCCACCCCCACCCCAGGCCAAAGCCAAAGACACTGGGAACTCCAAATCCCATCACCATCAGAGGGAAGGTGGCTGGGACCTGAGGGTGGGGTTAAGCAACCAACTTGGTATAAAGACAGACACGTGGGCTTTGGAGGAGTCCCCCATTTTGACTCTCCGCCAGCTCGCAGTGTCCGGCCAGCACAGAGAGTGCTTTTTGGGTTTCCAGGTCGGTGGATCGGGTAGGACGCATTAAAGACTTTATTTCCCTATTTTCTCCCTGAGTTGTACATTTTCCTTATTTCCTTTTCCCTTGTAAATAAACCTTTTATTGACCTTTTGTGTATGCCTGTAGTGGAGTATTAATAAGTCCCTTGTAAGCGCGCAGGTGAGGACCCACAGCCAGGAAACCCGTTCAATATCGGGGCTGCCCTAACAACCTGACAGAATTGCAAGAATTTACCTCTTTTTGTTGCTAGTATTTCCAGAGAGATCTGATCAATTCTTGTCTATATCCTGTAACATAATATGTCCTAAATGTTCTGGGGCTGTTACAATGTAAAATATTTGATTCATTATTACTGAAAGTCTTTGAAATGACTCAGAAATACCAGTATTTCACTGAAAATTCAGTGAGTTAAAACAATAAGTTTTATTTATTTATTTATTTATTTATTTATTTTTAAAAGATTTATTTATTTATTTATTTATACAAGCACTGGGTACAGTCAGAAGCGCGGGAGGGTGAGAGAATTCACCATGGCCAGAGCGGGGAGCAGAGCAGGCAGAAGGACCGAAGTACACTGCTGAGGGGAGCAGCGGGCGGCAGGAGAGGTCTGCGCGCCATGGGACCCTCCTCCGGTGGCCGGGGAGCAGCCGGGGATCGAACCAGCGCTGCAGAGGCTGCGGGCAGCTTCGCAACCCAGCGCTCAACCTCTGCGCCACTGGGGAGGCCCAAAACAATAAGTTTTAAATGCCATGTCACAAAATAAGAGGGATCAGGGTGAGGACACTTCAAACTTGTGAAAGCAAAACTGCCAACCAATGGTATCTCTTCATTAGGTGTTGTTTATAATGATACTTTTCTAGTAAAAAGCATGTGACGCCAAAATTTTTTAAAATAGAGATAGCAAAGTAGAAAATACATTATGTGTGGTGTGGTGCTTTGTACATGTCAGGTTGCAGGTGTTTGGGAATATAACAGTGACCAGGCCCAACGTGATGTCATATCCACGAGGCTGTGTTTTTATTACGATAATTGTCATAGTAAGGAATGGAGTTGACTATTTACACGTGCCATTGTGGTTACTTTGCTGTTAGGTTTGTGTGTTTTAGTTGCTTCTGAATTTTTATGAGGGTAGAAGTTAAAAGTAGGCAAAATAATACACTCCCCAGGGACAAATCCTCCCCATGGCGGTTACCAATTCCTGGTCCCTCTGATTTTGTCTAAAATGCTGCCACCACTTTCCTCCTCACAGATTGTTTTGAAGTAAATCCAAGGTAACATTTCAAATGCAAATATTCAATTTGTATCTGTAAAGCACAGGGATGTTAAAAGCTGGGGGGCATTCATATATTAACTTTTTATTTTAAAAGTTTTTGTGTTAAAGTGGATGTAGAGTATATTTTAATGACAATGGAAAATGAATGTTTTTACAGAAATATTTTGTGATCCTTTTATACCCAGTTAATAACAAGACTAAATATTAGTCTGGAAAATTTGACAAAAATTTATATGTTGAGTCAAACAAACCATCATACGTGGTGCTTTTATTTTTCATTTCAGTAATAAAATGAAAACATTTCATCTAATAGGTACTTATATTAATTGAAATTTATAACAAGTTAAGAAATGATTGCTTATTTGTGACACCACTATCACATACTTTCACATTTCAGAATTATAATACTTAAATAATGCTTATCTTAATTGGTCAGATTTTCATCAGCACAAGCATCCTGGGAACATCCCTTATTTCAGAAACTCCAAGGGCCTTCTTATAGTACTCATCTCACACCTAAGATGATCACAAAAAAAGACTGTTGATTTCATAGGAAGATAACTTTCCAAGAAAATTTCAAAGTTTTTATGTGAATTTTTGCTTTTTACATTCTCTCAGCATAAATGATTAATTCAACCTAATTTTTTTTTTTATGAATTGCATAAACTTTTAATTGTTCTGAGTGATTATACCCTTAATACTAACTTTGGAGGAACAAATCTAATTGTTTTTATGCTTATTTTTGGGAACCTCTAATAATACGGAAAACTGACAATGGCATAAATGTGCTCCAGTTTTACTAGTTGATCCACTCTGAACTTTTAATGGGATTGTAGATATTTCTCACAATGAAGAAAAAATAATCAAAAAATTGATTTCACTTAGCTAAATTGAGATTTTATGTCCAAGTTCAAGACTTAAAATGTATTTCAGCTCCATTGAGTTTATTTTTAAGTTAACTGAAAATAATCCTTAAAAACTCTTTAGTTACAATTTTTATTTTGGGTTTGTATGTACTGATGCCACTATTTCTTAAGATAATTCCAAAGTGGAGGTTCCAAAATATCAGTATCTGCAGCCTATGTGCTTATGATAGCAGAGAGCAAAATGACATGTTGATAGCTCAGTGTAAGATTTATACAAGAATTTCAAACTGTGATGGCTTTTCCACCTAGGAATGTAGTCAATACTGAATACTGTTTGAACTTTCTTAATAATAATAAAAGCTTTTGAAAGAGAAATTTTGAATCTCTGTCTCTCCTAATGGGAACAAAGAAAAAAATCTCAAGTGGTATGTCTAGGTAAGACATGAACTCTACAGGCATGTTCTTTCCTAATTTATTCTCTATAGCCAGAGGGTTTTCTTTAAGAGTAGATGTCTCAAAGCAAAGACAGTATAATTTACCTATGTTTGAACACTTCCTGAAAACATAAAGGAAATGTCAGTTTGAACTTCATTGTTAGATACAAGCGACTGTCTTTAGGTTTTTATTCCTTTTGCTGATTACAACTTTGGAATGACTTTGTTTTTTGTTTATTAATATTTGGTAAAAAAAAAAAACCATTAACTATAACGACTAAATGTCATTTCAGTTTTACTTCTTTGAAAGTTTTACTGTACACAGTTTCCAGTGCTTAAATACTTCTCTAGTAATTGGGGCAGTTGAACAAAAGAGCAGTTTGCTTTATAAAGTAGTAAGGTCTTTATTAATCCAAATGTTAAGACATACATGCTTACCCACCTACTATCTCTCAAATGCCTTTATAAATAAATGTTGATATAGTGGAATGGAATTTTAGGATTTGAAATGTTGCTAATTTTGGCTCAGTGCTAGATTTTTGAAGAGTGCAGCATTTGTTTATTTATATTTAATTGATATCTGAAAAGGTAGTCTACAGAAGACTCAATAAAATCATACAAGAAGGAAACTACCTCAGGAAATCCCCAAGGGAAAAAAATACATCAGCTTAGTTCTTAAATAGATAAAAACCATTGATTTAATTTTTTCCAGCTCCTTGACAAATTTCTTATTGATTAGAAGATATGAATAGGGCATAGTAATTTAATAATTGGATAGTTGTAGTTACTATTAAGAAGTTGTTTAGGACCCCCCCTGGTGGCGCAGGCTGTTGAGCACCACTAGGTGAAGCTGCCCGCAGCCTCTGCAGCTCCTGCTGCTCCCCTCAGCAGTGTATTTCGTCAGCTGCCTGTTCTGCCCGGCTCTGTCTCTGGTGAATCCTCACCCTCCCGCACATCTGGCCTGTACCGGGGTTCTTGTATAAATAAACAAATAAATCTTTAAAAAAAAAGTTTAAGAAAATAGATACTTTGAGGAAATTAATGTTTCACTTAAGGTAGCAGAAGTAATCAAAAAGCAAACGTTTTGAGCACTTAATGTATAGAAGGACTGTGCTAAATGCTTTACATTCTGTTTGTCATTTATTCCTCACAACAATAATATCAGGTAGGTATTTGTAGTAATAACGATTTACAGATAATGAAATTAAGGTCTAGGATGGTAAAGTCACCTGCCCTGAATGTTGTGCTTTATCTTTTATTTTGTCAAATGAGTTAAAACTCATATTGATATCCTGTCTCATACTTGGATAATTTCCCAATTTCTTACACGTATATATCCTCTGATGCTGTTGGACATACCATGAATGCTCAAGATTAGATTATTTATAGATATGTGTTCTGTTGCTTTCTAGTTTTTACTGTTAATCACCATTTTTGTTCAGCTGTTTTACTGTAGCTACTAATCTAAGACAGGCATTCTCCTTCTGCTGGGTTTCTCAACTTCTGTAAAAAAAAGGACTTAGTTTCTGAAACTGTAATACATTAACAATGTATTATTTTGAAAATTATCCTAAAATTTTATTTTGGGTTTTGCTTCCAAACCTGTGTGAAGGCAAGGCTCTCCAGCGCTTCTGGAGAAATAGCAAAATGTTTCCCTTTGATCTTTCTACCTCAATAATACCTTCCTGTTTGCTGTTGCTTAAGTATGAAACCTTGTTTTTCTTCTGGATAATGTACTTCAAGTTTAGTGGACTGAAGATGTATTATCTTAAATGGTTTTAATTTTAAAATCCCTAGGCAACCAAGGCATTACAGCACTGTAACATTCTTACTGTAGTTTATTTTTAAGTAAAATAATATTGTGAGTTTTCTTTTACTTACTGGGTTTTTTGCATTGCTGCATGTTAATTTAAACATCTAACTTCATTGAACAGTTTTATTTCCTTTAATCCATATGAAGGCCTTACTCTTAGTTATATTTATGTTATTTCATGAATGCATTTTTGTTTGTTTATACCTTTATTTGATTAAGGATAAGAATTCCTGTGCTTTTGAAAAAACCTTTCCAGAGCCAAATAGAGAAGTTAGTGATTTTTACATATTTCTTTTTGTCTGTTTTAGGATGGCTACCATAGAGTAGTTAATATTGTGCCAAAGAAACCACCACTGCTAGACAGACCTGGTGAAGGAAGCTACAGTAGATATTACAGTCATGTTGATTACCGAGACTATGACGAGGGCCGCAGTTTTTCTCATGATCGAAGAAGTGGTCCACCTCACAGAGGAGTATGTAAATTTCCCCCATGTACTAATTGTTTTTTTTTTTTAAGTTTAAAAATCATGTGATTTTTGAAATTTATGTGACTAGCCATGAAGGCAGTGAATGAACACTTCCTGTTTGATGCTCTGCTGAATTGCTGGCTGGAGCTGTCAGACAGGAACTGGTAGTTTAAGGACCTTGGTGTGCTGGACAAAGTGGGTAGGCATGCTGAATAGTTCCATCTAAATGACACAAATTCCAACTAGCCTGCTTTTTTAAATACCCTCAATTGGCAAGAATTTGTAGAACCGTATCAAGGTATTCTGTTGCCTTGATTGTCAATAAATGATGAGCAGGTGGGAATCATCTCTGTTTGGGGGGCCCACTGCATTTGTTTTTTATCACCATGAAATGCTGTGGGCGAGGTTGGGCTAAGGTTGTTGAGACTCATTCTCACTTTCTTGTAGTTACTAATAAAGTTTATTTATTAACTCAGTTTAGAAAGTGCCCAGAACATTGCCCGTTCTGTAGTAAGCATTTTAAAAATGTGAGTTGCTATTACTATTTCTTTTATATTTTGTATCTCTTGATCATCTTTAACAATCTATAAGTATGTATTTAATTTTACACTAATTTGCCGTTGAACTTGATTGAAATTACTTTTTGATGCAAGTCCTTTGACCTAGCTGGCATGTTTATAGCATTCTTCTGCTAGACCATTTTGCTACATTGTCTCTTTTTTTCATTCCTAATTTGTAATATGCCTGTGCATATCCAGACGGTTTATAATAAAATTTGACCTCACATTGACCATTGAAATAATTTCTGTGTTTTACACTTGAAGACATGGAGGTAAGGTGATTCACAGAGGGTGGAAACATAAAGGGAGTCTGGTTCTTATACTGCTAGGTCATAAAGACCCTTGACATTTCTGAAGTGGTAACAACACTATTCACTGTTTCTTTTGTGGGTGGGTTTTAGAGTTTGGGTTGTTACAGTTTTATTTCTCATAGAGTTGATTTTTATTTTCAGTTTTAAGTGTCTTGCATTAAGGAGTGAGGTTCAGTGTTGAAAAATAAACATGCATTCTCTCTCCTGAAAACACTGCATTGCACCACTGAAGCCATTCTGTCAGGGAGAAACAATTTGGCCTTTGTATAAATAAACAGTTACTCTTACAAACACCCTGTAGCAGTTTAATGTAGCCTTGGGATTTAGGATTTGTTGGATCCATTTATTTTTAATCTTCACTAACATGATTTTTTCCAAAACCTTGTAGCATAATAGTGTTTCAGGAGCAATCATGTTTTCTATTATTACACATTGTCTTTGTTCACACTTCATGCAGTTTCCTTTTTTTGCAGACAAGTCCTTTTGAGGCCTTCAGGATTGTCATGACACAAATTCATATTTAAGTCCAGTTATATGAAGCAGAGTTCTTACTTGATCCAATATTTTACCAGAGCGATTGAGCTTTTTTTGTTGTTTGCTGACATTTAATGTCGAAAAGGAAAGTGATGAGCTCGCAGAGCACGTGGTGCTAATAAGGATCGGTCTTTCTGATTATAAGCACTTGATGTGTTAAATTGTTCTATGTGTCATTTAAAAGGAGTTGGGTGTGAATTAATGCACACATTCTTTCAAATGTATTTATTTTAGAGGACAAGATGTCCTTTGATTTTAAAAAATTATTGCCTTACTCTGATACAGCTTATCAGTGGGTGACAGTTATATTGTTTCCAATTGTGGTATTTAATGGGAGGCAAAGTGGGAAAAGAAAAGTGGGAACCTAGCAAGTTCTAGCAAGTTCTTTGGTGGGCTTGGATCTGAGTATTAGTGAGCGACCTAGAGAAAGGGAAGAAAATGAAACATTGAGAAATGTGTGCATGATTAAATTTAGCCTTTGTTTTCCAAACAGCCCTTAGCTGTTGGGTGTTGTTATATGTTTCTTTGGCAGTAAAGCTGTTTAGGCTATGGACGAAATACTTAATGCAATTTAATAGAGATAAGTAGTACCACGGGTTATCAGTCAGCTGAATTAGTTGGTGAAATGGATGATTTACTACAGTATATACCTATCCTTTTTTTTATGCTTTTGAAACTCAGAGGTAATTTAGAGAGGTGTTTTTGCCTCATTTGGTCTTAGAGATTACTTTCTGTTAGTGCTATCAGATATATCTTGCTTGACCAAAGTAATATCCATGAATATCTAAGTAACTTTTTTATGTTACAGGATGAATCTGGCTATAGGTGGACAAGAGATGATCATTCTGCCAGCCGACAGCCTGATTACAGGTACAAAGATAAAATAGCAACTACCTTGATACTCGATACTCTGAGATGTCTGCTGTTGAAATCTCACCTCAGGGCACCTTCATAAGTGACTTAGGAGAATTTCTCCAAGTTATTTGGTTTAACTCTATTGGAATCATTTTTTCCGGCATTATACAACTTTTAATTTTTTTTTTAATTGCGTTACATTGGTTTAACATACTTTATTTGGTTTAGGGGAATTGGTTGACACTCAGATGTGTGTCACCATACCATACTCACACCAGAGCAGCCATGGTCCTTCACCATAAACCATTAGGCCCCCTCCCCACTTCATTCACACTCCCAACCACCTTCTCCCTCTGGTAGCCTCCATTCTGCAGTCATTTCTAGGGTTTATTTTGATGTAGCTTTGTCAGTCTCTTCTTTTAGTTTCTCTGTATTCTACATGTGAGATGTGAGTAAAATCATCTGGTATTTCTTTCTCCTTCTGACGTATTCTCTTAGCACAGTTCCCTGGGTTCTATCCATGTTGTCCCAAATGGCAAAAGTTTTTTTTTTTTTTTTTACATAACTGTGTAGTAATCCATTTTGTATGTACCACATTTTACTAATTGACTGCTCTGTCAGTGGGCATTTTGGTTGTTTCCACAACTTGTCTATTGTAAATAGTGCTTCAATGAACATGAACATAGGAGTGCATATATCCCTTTAATATAGTGATTTGATATTCTTCGGGTAGATACCTAGTAGTGGAATAACAGGATCACATGGTAGATCTATTTTTAATATTTTGTGGAATCTCCGTATTGTTTTCCATACAGATGGGGTTACTCTGCATTCCCATCAGCAGCGTACAAGTCTTTTTTCTCTACACTTTGCCAGTTTTTATTGTTTCTTTTTTTTTTTTTTTTTTTTAAATACAGGCCATTCTCACAAGTGGTGGTTTTGTGGCTTGCATTTTCCTGCTCAATAATGTTGTACTGTTTTCATTTTGCATTTTTCTGATAAGTGTTATTAAAACTTCTTCATGTGTCTGTTGTCTGTATCTCCTCTTGGGCGAAGTGACTGTTTATCTCTTCTGTCCAGTTTTTGATTGGGTTCCTTGTTTTCCTTGTGTTGAGTTTAGGAGTTCTTTCTGGATATTGGATTTTAGCCCCTTGTCAGATGTGTGATAGGCAAATATCTTCTCTCACTCAGTAGGGTGTCTTTTCATTTTAATGATAGTTTCTTTCACTGTGCAGAAGGTTTGTTGCCCCATTTGTTTATTATTGCTTTTGTTTCCCTTGCTGTAGACATCACAGAATCCAGTGTCATGGAAGACACAGGTTTCACCTTCATTTTCTTCTGTGCATTTTATGGTTTCTGGTTTTGCATTTTCATCTGTTTTTGAGTTAAATTTTGAGTTAAATTTTGTATATGGTGTGAGAGAGTGGTGTGGTTTCATTTTTCTGCATGTGGCTGTCCAATTTTTTCAGCACTTTTTTAAAAATTATTTTAATTTTTTTTAAAAGATTTTATTTATACAAGAACTGGGGTACAGGTCAGAGGTATGGGAGGGTGAGAGAATTCACCAGAGACAGAGCGGGGAGCAGAACAGGCAGATGGACCGAAGACACTGCTGAGTGGAGCATCAGGCGAGGCAGGAGAGGTCTGCCACACCATGTGGGTGTCTACCTGACCGGGCAGGAATTGAACCTGCGTTGCAGAGGCTGTGGACAGCTTCACAGCACAGCGTTCAAACCGCTGTGCCACTGGGGAGGACCTCAGCACCGTTTTTTGAAGAGACTTTCCTTTCTCCTTTGTTGTAGATTGTCCATATAAATGTGAGTTTAATTGAATCTTTTTTTAAAACAGATTTTTTTTTTTAAAGATTTATTTATTTATACAAGAACCGGGGTACAGGCCAGATGCGTGGGAGGGTGAGAGGATTCACCTGAGACAGAGCGGGGAACAGAACAGGCAGACTGACGAAATACACTGCTGAGGGGAGCAGCAGGTACAACAGGAGAGGTCTGCAGCGCCATGTGGGAACCTTGCCGGCTGCCGGGATCAAATCAGCACTGCAGAGGCTGCAGACAGCTTCACAGCATGGTGCTCAACCGCCTGCGCCACCAGGGAAGGCCCTTAATTGAATCTTTTTAAGGGGCAAGTAATATTTCATGATGTGCACATGCTACTTAATTTAGTTGTCTCTCTATTTCCAATGCAAAACAGTGCTGCAATAAATCCTAGTAATAATGTCTTTATGAAGGGCCTCCCTGGTGGCACAAGGGGTTAAGCACCGCACTGTGAAGCAATCCACAGCCTCTGTAGCATGAGTTTGATCCCCGGCTGGCCAGGGAGCAACCCATATGGCACAGCAGACCTCTCCTGTCTCTCCCACTGCTCCCCTTAGCAGTATTTCAGTCAGTCTGCCTTTTCTGTTCTCTACTCTGTTTCTGGTGGATCCTCTCACCCCCTGCATCTCTGGCCTGTACCCCAGCTCTTGTATGCATAAATAAATAAATCTTTAAAAAAAAAGTCTTTATGAAATAGCACTTTAATTTTTTTTTTTTAAGTTATTCATTCATGCATACAAGAACTGGGGTACAGGCCAGAGGTTTATGGGGGGAGGGTGGGAGGATTCACCAGAGACAGAGTAGGGAACAGAACTGGTGGATTGACTGAAATACACTGCTGAGGGGAGCAGTGGGGAGACAGAAAAGGTATGCATGCTGCGCCATGTGGGTAGCTCCCTGGCCGGGGATTGAACTTGTGCTACAGTGGCTGCGAATAGCTTCATAGGTTTCGTCTTAACCCCTTGTGCCACCAGGGAGGCCCTCTTTTTTTTTTTTGTTTTAAAGATTTATTTATTTATGCATACAAGAACTGGGGTACAGGCCAGAGGTGTGGGGGTGAGAGGATTCACCAGAGGCAGAGTGGGGAACGGAACAGGCAGACTGACAAACGCTCTTGAGGGGAGCAGCTGACGAGATAGGAGAGATCTGCTGTGCTATGTGGGAAGCTTCCTGGGGGGCTGGGGATCGAACTCATGCTGCAGAGGCTGCAGATAGCTTCATAGTGCTGTGCTTAACCCCTTGCGCCACCAGGGAGTCCCCGCACTTTGGTTTCTATGGAATAGATTGTCAAGCGTGGAATTTCTAGGTCAAATGTGTATTAAATTTCCAGCTTGCCTCTAAAAAACTATATCACTTTTTTTTCCATTTAAAAAAAAAAATCTAACATTTCATTTGGATATTTAGTCTGTTTTTCTTATTTATTAATATAAGGACAGTGTAGAAATTTTGAGCACTGCTATAACACTGTCCCATAGATTCTGCTGAATAGCATTTTTATACTGATTCTGGCAAAATATACTGTAGTTATTCTGTGATCAGAGAATGTTGCCTGTACTCTTGTTCTACTGTTTGAAATTCATCGATCAGGTTTCTTAACCATAACATGGAATTAAAGCAAGATTCTTGTCCATTTTCAAGGTATAAAATTCAACATGGCATATTCATTTGGTTTGTATTTATATGTCTGGTATATGTCAGGTACTCTTCTAGCTTCTGGGGATATAAAAATCTCTATTCTCATGAAAGTTATGTTTTGGTATGAATTTTAAATAGCAAACATAAAAACACATAATTTTTATGAAGGTTAAACAAGGCACTGAAGCAGAAGTGCTTCTCCCTCCACAATTTCCTGTACTTGGTTTTTGGGTATCTTCAGTAATGTCTCAGGTTTTATGCCATTGCTAAGGTAAAGCTTTTGCTAACCAGCATCTTTTTGGCTGCTGTTGACTGTCAGCCTGGCTCTTAATTAAGTTCCTATCTGAAAGACTTTGTGAACAGAAAATAGTTGTTTTGGGAAAAATAAATCACTGCACTTACAAACCAAGCAAAACGAGTAGCTATGTATATTGGTAAGAGAGTATGTCTTCAAGCAGTTAAGAAAATCCTTCTAGTCTTTGTTTTTTTCAGAGGGGTGGACCCAATGATTCTTTGTATGTGGGAAGAGTATAAGAACATTGAAAACATTTTTTGAGACAAATTTTGAATTTATAGGAAAGTTACAAGAATAATTCAAAGAACTGTTTCCTTTCACCAGAGACCCCATTAATGTCTCCAGTAATGTGCTTTATAGCAAAAAAGATGTAATCTGGCCTTATAAGTCCTATTTTTGTCAGTTTCTTTAAAATCTGTCAACAGTTCCTTAGTCTTAACTTTCATGGCTCATGTTTTTGGTAACATGAATACAGGGCAGACGTTTGTAGAATCTTTCTCAATTTAGGATTTAGGTTTGTCTAATGTTTCTTTTTATGAGATCCAGGTTATGCATTTTTGCTGGGACGGTCCCTGAAGTGCTGCTGTGTGTTTTTGTTTTGTTTTGTTGTATCCTGTTAGCTAGCACATGTTGACTGGTTCCCTTTTATCACTTGTGATGAAGATGGGGCCCAGAGAATTTCTTTATTATGATGTTACCCTTTTCTCCTGAAATTGATGAGTGTTTTGTGTGGAAAAACTTTGCAACTATATTATGCCATCCTCACTCAACCTTCACCTACTAGTTTCAGCATCTATAGATGTTTCTTGCCTGGATTGTTAGTATGGGTGATTGTGCAATTCTGCTGTGGACTCACAGTGTATTATAATTATAGCTGTCATTATTGCAAGGCTTAATAAATTTGGTCCCTGGAAGTCCCTACAAGTTGACACCTATGATGGAAAAAAAAAAATATTTTTGTGGTAGAATATATGTAATATAAAAGATACCATTTTAACCACTTTTAAGTGTACAATTCACTGATGTTTAATTACATGTACAGTGTTGTGCCACCATCACCACTATTTCCAAAGCTTTTTTTCTTCACCCCAAACTCTACTTGTTAAGCAGTAATTCCTCATTCCTCTTTATCTTCGACCCCTGCCAACTTCCATTGTCCTGTCTGCCTTTGTGATTTTATCTATGTAATTCACTCAAATGCAGTCATGCTGAATGCCAAGGTCATACTCTTGTGTCTGGTTTCTTTCATTTAG